CGATATATATTATGTACATATATATGTTATATGTTGTGATTATTCATAGCTAGGTGATTTAAGATATTTGTTAGCAAACAAAGCAGATTACTGTAAGAATTCATAAAAGATAAGCCACATACTGGGGGAGAATACTTGCAAATCACATATATGGCAAAATACTTGTATCCATAATATACAAAGAACTCTTACAACTCAATAATAAGAAGGCAACCCAATTTTAAAATATGCAAAATAATCAATGGACATTTCTCCAAAGAAAAGGTGTAAGTAGATAATAAGCACTTGAAAAGATTCTTAAGACCACTAATCATTAGGAAAATGCAAATAAAAACCATTTCATATCCACCATGATGGCTATGATCAAAACCAGACAATGACAAATGTTGACAAAGGATATGGAGAAATAGGAATTGTTCAAGATTGCTGGTGGAAATGTAAAGTAGTATAGTCACTTTGGGAAACTGTTTTGCAGTTTCTTAAAAAGTTAAAGGTAAATTTTTTCAAAAGACCCAGCAATTCCATTCTTAATTATCTACTCAAGAGAAATAATATATGTGTCCATACCAAAATTTGTAGATTAATTTTCATAGCAGCATTATTCATAATAGCCCAAAATTCAAAGTGCCCAAATGTCCATTTACCGGTGAATGCATAAATAAAATGTGGTATAGCCATAATAAAATGCCTACTAAAAAAGAGTAAAATACTGGTACGTGCTGCAACATGAATGAACTTCAAGAGCATTATGCTAAGTGAAAGATGCCAAACACAAAACATTACATATTATGTGATTCTATTTATATAAAATGTCCAGAAAAGACAAATGTACACAGATAGAAAAGTAGATTCATGTTTGCCTGATGTTATTTGTGGGAATGGGGATTAACTGTAAATGAATATGAAGGATCTCACTGGAGTGATAACAATATTCTAAAACTGGATATCATTATAGGTGCACAGCTTGGTAAATGTACTAAAATAATTGAATTGTATAGATAAAATGGATGAATTTATGTTATGTAAATTATATTTCAATAAAGTTTTTAAAAGAAAAAGTGTGTAGAGACACAGCCCCCAGCAAGGCAAATACTCTTAATCCTAATAGTAGGATTTATCCATATCTGAATCACAGTGGAAAGAATCAATCTATGCAAGTTAAAATTTTAAGACAAAAAAAGGTATTTCAATCTGAACTTGATTTGAATGTGGCTTAAGGCATTTTACCTATGTTCTTTGCAGAAGAGACAACTGATACCTGTATTCTCCCCTTTGCCCGTTCTCCACCCAAATAACTCACCCAGTAGGCTTTGACTTTTAAATATGTTTGGTTGTATTAGAGCCTTTCCTGAAAGCAGATTTGGGAAGAAAATTGGAAACAAAACATAAGGACCCTAGCTACTTTGGGACACATTTTAACTCCTAGACATGTTGGCCTATGGTGAGATACGGATAGTTCTAGTTTTTTCTCTAACACAATGTATGCACTTGCAGATAATTACTGATCTTTAAGTATCCTATTTTTTAAGGAACTCAATGACTACCATTGTCTGAGAAAGTAAACTTCTAGAGAGTTAGAGAGACTATGTTTAGATAAACTTGTGTGTGCTGTGCCTTAGGCAGTTAACAACCAAAAACATTTTATGGATATTCGGAAATCCTAAGCTCTATCATATTCAAATAAATTGTGCAATAGTTCAACTGAATAAAGATCATCACTTCTTTAAAAGAAATTTAATGAAAATTCATTTATTAATCCTTGATTATAACATTTAGCTTTATATCCCTTTAATAAAGAGAACTGCTTTATAAACTCTGACAAAGAAGGAACTCAAAAGCACCTAAATCAGTGGTTCTCAACCTTCCTAATGCCGCGACCCTTTAATACAGTTCCTCATGTTGTGGTGACCCCCAACCATACAATTATTTTCGTTGCTACTTCATTACTGTAATTTTGCTACTGTTATGAATTGTAATGTAAATATCTGATATGCAGGATGTATTTTCATTGTTACAAATTGAACATAATTAAAGCATAGTAATTAATCACAAAAACAATATGTAATTATATGTATGTTTTCCGATAGTCTTAGGCGACCCCTGTGAAAGGGTCGTTCGACCCCCAAAGGGGTCTCGACCCACAGGTTGAGAACCGCTGACCTAAATGAATCTATCTTAAATGCTCACCAATATTCCATTATTGGCAACTTAACTCTCACAGTGAAGACACTTTTTCATAATGAAGCACAACATAGTTCCTGTCAATCTATTCACAATAGTTATTTTTTAATATCAGTCAAAGGAGGTACAGATAAATAAAATGTTTAAAACCATCTGAAAGGTAAAAAAAATTTTACAAACCCAGAGGATAAACTGCAATTGAGAGTAGAAGATGAGAAACGGGCAATATAGATGAGAATCCAATACAAGGAGTACAATGAAAAAAACAAAACAAAAAAAACTTCCCTTCAGAAAAGTCACCTTCTGAGAACTTACTCTGTGTATCTCCTCTTTCTCTTCCATTTTTTCAAAAAATTAAAGGAAGCAGCTCTGGACTTAAGGGAAGAAAGTACTGTCAGTGAACCTCAAGGTTGATTTTAGTCTTACCAAAGAAGATCACACTGACAGCAGGTGACTTTGTAGAACAATGAATAAAAAGCTTACCAAAGCAGTGTTTGATTTTGGAGACACACTTCATGTTCTAATAATTGAAGGCATCATCCTCTGCTGACTTATAAGGATATCAAGGGACAGGGTGCAGTGTGTGGGAAGTCTTCAGCTATTCAGAATAGTTTGTTAGTGTTTTTCCCAAAAGTACACTGAATATGATCAGCCAGAGTCTGAAAATAAAGGTTTCACTGGAGGGTATTCTGCTCAAGTGTGACATTTTCATAAGTGCAAGGTTCCTGGACAAATTGTTAACTAATCAAAACCTGGCATTTTCAATATATGTAGTATTAAGCCTCAAGGCAACACATAACTAAACTTGTATACTGGAGGAATCAGATGGAGAAGTGTGCAGAACCCTAGATCAATACATCTACTTACAAAGTCTAGAATTTACTTACATAAGAGCTGACATTCTGAGTTAAGAGGCCACAAAATGTTAAAAATCAAGATTCCTGGCATCATCCTCTTTTATTAAGGGAAACTATTTCACATCATTCTGATATTTTCTTGAAGACATATACCAGGACAATGTAATCATTTTTTTTCATAAAGGTATTATGTAATTTTAATTGGTTGAATTGTGTTGCTTTATAAATAGGATTTTAAAATATGTAAATTAGAGCCAATCAGTTAAAATTGTCAAAACCCACAAGGTAAATATTTTATTCATTTGTTATCTATATAGTGTATGGCTGGCTATTATTAAGAGGTTGTTTTTTTTAAAATAGAGAAGTGAAATAGTAGTCAATAATGGAACAACTTCATATTTGAACTCAACAGTTAACTTTATTTCTGTGAACATAAGTAGCTAGTGAGACTGGAAAACTGCAGCATCTCTGATTATTCAGAGCACACTACCTTTGGTAAATTATCCTAATAATTCCATTAGAGATCTCTCTAATTTCTGGGGTCCATTAGACTTTTCTTGAGCAAATGTCTACATAAATTCCTTTGCCTGAAATCACTAGTTGATTTTATGTAAGATATCTAAACAGTCAAAGGAGGAGGAGGGAAAGGGTCAGGAGAAGAGACTCATCGCTCTGGCCTATTAAATGTTAACTTTAAACTTTTTTGTCTATTCTAAACCACTTTAATTTTATGCATAAAATAACACACAAAGAAAACCAATAAAATAAAACATCAGGCAGAAATTGAACATTACCTAGTGTTATCAGTTCAGTTCAGGTAGACAAATCCAGATGTTGTCACTGTGTACTGCCAAAGGACTCACAAACAAATACTTAAGCTCAACTCCCATAACATTTGCGACACTTTCAAGTCCCACTCCTTATGCTCCCTTCAACTCTCAAATTTGTGTGCCAAATTCATGTTCTTGTAGACCAGGGAAAATTACATTTCTTCTGCCTCAGAGACTGATGCAGAGAAAGGCATCAGATGTCAGTCATCTCAAATCGTCCGGTAAAGGTTCCCGTGTCTCTTGTGTCTTCTACTTTTATTTTCCCAACCCATTACAAAGTTTTGGGACAGAAATATGTCTGATTCCCAAAGGCATTAGCCTGACACTCTGCTATTCCTCACTAAGAAGGAGGAATAGAAATGAGAGTGATGTGACCTACGTTTTGTGGGACAGCCCTCTGTAATCCCCCTAACACAAACACCAGAGGTGGGATGGGGTGGGGGTCAAAGGAGGAGGAGGGAAAGGGTCGGGAGAAGAGACTCACCGCTCCGGCAAGTTTCTCGCTCAGGCAGAACGTAATCAGGAGTAGCCACAACCTGAAACAGGAGGGAGTGTAAGTAACATGGGCTCTCTAGGCTCTAGAGTCCTGCGTCTGTCCACAGACACCCCCACCCTCTTTTACTGCCTGACCCCACTTTCTCTGCAATGACAGAACTACAAGTATGTATAGTCTCGGTATGGCAAAATAGTCCAAAGTAGGAAAGAGGAAAGGAGGTCGGGGCAGCAACAGCTCACCCACGGTGCATGCTTTCAGATCCTCCAGAGCAGCGTCCCAGGAGACTGCTAAGAGGCTCCGAAGCCCAGGCTCATCTGGGCTCCGCTGATGCTTGCAGGCTGCTTCCTTATTCAGAAGGACAGGGTAGGGGAGAGAAGTAGCTCACTTCGGTAGAAACTAAATTCAGCTCCTAGATAAGAAGTGCCCTAAAGGGAAACATGCTCAGCAGTGCCCGCTACAACTTGCCGCACTCAAAAGATAGTTCCCAGCACCAAGAGAGGAAGGAATGGAAGGGAAGGGGGCGGGGTTGTCTGCTGTCAATCATCCACCCTACCTTGGGCAGCCGGTAGTCTTTCTCATTTGGGGGAACCTCTACCACAACATTCCCACGCATCTCCACAGCTTCATGCACGGCTCATAGAGACCTATACTCTAAGGTGTAAGCAATTATGCATCACACATTCCCATGAGCCACTGTTAACTGTTACAACATAACTCACATATAGATTAGGCACGAGACTTTTATGTAGACAAGTGGGCCCCAACATGTCCTTTCAGGTTTGCCCAAATGCATACAACACTCATTCCAACCGATTTTATACTAAGCTCCTGGGAGGTAGGGGTGGTGGTGGTGCTGCTGCTGCTGGTAGTTCCTGGAGTTGTAAATCTACCCTAAACTGAGTGGAACATAAGGGTGAGTAGGACCCCATGAAATAGTTCTAAAGCCTTGAAAGACTCTAAAGTTATAAATTCTAGGATCCGAGATAACAGAAATGTTCTGAATAATTCTTCAGTAAATCCCTGTAAGACCCCAAGGAGTCCACATCCAAGTATTTTCTGGACGTGTTGGTACTTAAAAAATCTATATACCAAAATTTAAAAAAGTAATGCCCATGTCTTTTTGGGATACGTCTATACAACTGCCATCAACTCAATATAAATATTTCTAGTTAGGTGTTTGTGTTATTTTTAAGGAAAATTGCCTGACAGCTATTTAATTCTCTGTCCTAAGTCCCTCTGAAACATAACTATAATGAGAGTGAATAACCTTCATGCTAATTCAATATAAGAGGTAAATATTATGACATTCAATGTAGCTAAATAAAAATATATGAGTGTATTTCAATAACATTCAACCATACAATAATTACTAATATTTACTGAATGCTCCCAAATCTCATATATATATAGCTCCCAATAAAGTATTCACACAAATATAGGTATGTTCATTTTCTTAATTCTTTGATTATAAGCATATATTTACTTATACAAATGTATTTATATATTTCTAATATTTTCACATATTCTGTTGTATGTAGAAACTCTTCCCTGCCAACAGGTTGAAGAGAAAGAACACCAGCAGCTCAAGGAGCAGCGACCAAAATTTTTCTAATCATTAACAGTAAAAAGATCCGTTCTCCATGAGATCCATCCGCTAAAAAAAATAGTCCCAACTCAGGTCTATTTCTAATTGGCTTGGGTGCTCACACCAATGAGAGTTGAACTGGGCAGGGAAGAGTAGTATCCACGGAAAGTGCAAGTGGACGAATAGAAAAGCTTCTCGGTTACACTCACAGTGGTCAGTCATCTGGTCTGGGAGTTTCCCTCCCCCAAATAACTGAGCGTCACTCCCTCGCAGGTTGCTGCTGAAGGCTGTGGCGGAGTGATCCTCAAATTCCCCAGAGCTGATGGGGAGGGGGCGGTGCGGGGGAAGACAGGCAGGAAAGTAGATCTGTGGGATTTGCGTGAGGAAAAAGTTTGCAAGTCTGGACAGAAGGGAAAAGTACTCCCAAGAGACCGGCTTTGAGGAGGGGAGGGGGAGGGAAGAATAGCTTCTTCTTTTTTCCCCCTCCACTCTATAAAAGCTTCTTTCTCCTCACCTAAGCCGACCTGCACAATTGGGGCACCCTCGCTCTCCCTCTCAGGCTCTAGCTCTCGCCCAATAAACCCTCAAGATTATGTCAATTGGTCAGAGCCAGCCAGGGATTTCGTGTGGGTGCTGAAGGAGCTGCAGGAGCCGGAGAAGAATGAAACTTCGTGGAGTCAGCCTGGCAGCCGGCTTGTTCTTACTGGCCCTGAGTCTGTGGGGGCAGCCTGCAGAGGCTGCGGTAAGTCCTTCCTTCTCCCCGCAACCCCCCACCCTACCTCATCACCTCACTCTCATGCTGTAATCACTTTTTGTTCCCTTCCCTTCTTTTATCTTTGGCCTTGGCTAGGGAATTCAAATTTGTCTTCACTTGTTTAAGAAGAAACATTATTTAAATTTAACGCTGGTAACTCAAGCTTTCTGAAATTCAAGGGAGAGGTGTAAGTGTTTAAAAATAGGGCTGCTGGCTTTCCTGCAGCTAGCTGCTCTGGGGACTAGAGCAGAGCCTGGGGCAGAGAACGCAGGCTAATAGATTACTAGGCTCTGGTAGGTATTTAAAACTTGTCCTCCCCACCGTCAGTCAGCCCTGGGGTGTTTCCCAGCCTGCCTGCTGGCTAACCTTTTCACTAGCTATACCCAACCCACGCACTCTAAACTTTGTCTATAGTTTGATATTTTGGCTTTTCTAATTTCGAGCTTCCATCAAAGTGTTAAGGGCGCCCATTAAGTTTTTCCCTTTTCCCTTTCCTTAAGCAACTTGAACCTACCCTAACCTTTGGTCAGTAGAGCCTCTGTAGAGACTGTGTTCCCCATTTGGCATCCTTTTTGCAAATGCTCAGGTAACATACCAGGAAAAATAAAGTAAAGAGGATGGCCTCAGGCTTCCAGTCTTCTGAGATTTTTGTTTGTTTTTTTAAGTTCTGCGGTTTCGATTGTTGTTTACTTTTTTTTTTTTTAACTTACTAAGGCACCTGAACAAATTGAGAAGTTTTGCCCATCACCTATTTAAAGGAAAAGTTATATTTTTTCAAAGGAGAATGAGTGTTCTGATTAAAAGAGAGCAGAGGAGAATGCACATGTGAAATGACAGAGCAAAAAGTTCCACTCTGTTTTAGGAATATAGAGTTAAAACCTCTATAAATCTCCTAAAAGGGTATCTGGCTAGTCCCACCCACCATCCTTCTGGGTATGAGAGGCAGATGTAAGGAATGAATGGCTTTGGCAGAGAAAATGTTCTTCAGCCTAAAGCCCATCATCCCTAGTTTCACCTAACCTCCAAAGAGTTTAGAAAGTAAAATATCCCTGTAAGAATATTCAAGAAACTAATAAAAACAATTGCCTGGTGGGGAAAGTGGATGGTTTAGGAATAAAAGGTTGAAGAAAAAAAGAATTAAGTATGCATCAAATTATTTAAAAGTTATATTTAAGTGATCAAAATAAGTGGTTTTAAAAACACTTCAGTATGAGATCATGGCTTAGGCCTTCACATGGTTGAGTGACTATCAATTCTTTATATGTTATTGTTTATCTGGGTCCACTTTTAAGTTAGCTGTCTAGCTTCTCTATACACTCAGTATGACACAGATAACATTGCCCTTCTTCTATCTTCCAGAAAGTGTGTAGATAGGAAGGCTATCTTTCATGTTATTATAAGTACATCATGTAATTATGATAGCACATCTGTTGAAAAGCTATGTGTATAAAATATTTTAAATTATATTTGCCATAATTTATTCTCCATCAAAGTAGATAAATGACTTAAAATTGCTTTTTTGATTTAGAGCATTTTAATGGAGTAAGGTTTAGTCACTTAATAGTGCTACAGACTCTTGGATAAAAGTACAATTATTTTGTTGAAAATAGTTATTTTTAAAAACATCTTCTAGGTAGGTGCTTACTGCTTATGGCATTTGGCCCAGGGCAAAGATTTTATAGATATTTCATTAAATATTTCAATTTTTTCTTTTGACATTGCTATTAATAAATGTGCACCAGATACCAATCATATAGGTATGTACAGAAATACTATACATCAATTTATATTAAATCCAATTGTATTAAAAATGTGATTTCTTTTTATGGTTGACAACACTTGGCAACAAGCCTATTTTCTTGGAACTTTTTAAGATTAAGTGTTCATGAAGAAATTACAGAAGACACCATGGAAGGGTTTTTTGTTTTGTTTTCCTTTTTCCCTACGGTATAATTTTTTAAAATATATTTTTATTGATTTCAGAGAGGAAGGGATAGGGATAGAAACATTAATGATGAGAGAGAATCATTGATCAGCTGCCTCCTGCACATCCCCTACTAGGGATTGAGCCTGCACCCCAGGCATGTGCCCTGATCAGGAATCTAAGGATGATCTCCTGGTTCATAGGTCAACACTAAACCACTGAGCAACACTGGCCAGGCTCCTTCTATATAGTTTTTAAATAACATTTTATATTACATTTCTTTATCATTAGGGTATTGTGCCTTTAATAAAACCAGGGGTTTGTTTTTTCTGCTTCATGCATCAATATCATAGTTAAATGAATGTTTTAATCATCACAAAGTTATGAATGGTATCTGCTCTCCATACTAGTGGCGGGGATATTGGTGACCTTCTCCAGAGTAAACTGGTTGGTCGTGGGGCTGGTTGTTGATTGAAGTAGTCTAGTATTGGGACTTTTATAACAGGAAGAGCAGTGCCACTTAAATTGCTTTGTTTTTCAGTTAAGTGATTTCTTTATCTTTGAAGTCATGCCAAATGGGGATGTCACAAATATGTGGAACATTTTTTTAGGTAGAGTATATATTAGGTGGAATAAAGTAATAATGCTTATGCTGAAAGGTTAGCAGTAAGTGAAAAAAGCAGCTTTAGGTTGGAAAAGTAATATCCAGTGATGGAGATAACGTATTTTTATGTAAAGGTAATTATACCTGTACTGACTCACTGTCAGTAGGATATGCACCCCTTCTTTATGTATATGGTGTATAAGATTGCACTACCCCTACTGTACAAATGTTAGTAAGTTTTATGTGTATGTGTGTTCAGTAGATAGTTCTCTCTAATTTAAATGTACTATCTCCCTTGTGATCAGAGGCAACAACTCATTAAAGATTGTAGTGTGGTTCAGGGCCACGGAACAGTTTTTCCTCTAAGAAGTATACTGCTCAATAGAAAGAATTTGTCAGTATTGTTATCATAACTTACATTTTTGAGTGTTTACTATGTGCCAGGCAGTGTGCTAATATGCTGATATACATGGCCATCTTTAATTTTCACCAAAGACCTATGAGATATATACCATTGATGTCCCCACTTTACAGATCAAGAAGCTATAGGTCATAGAGGTTAATTTGCTGAAAATCACTTAGGTAATAAACTAGAGCTGGGAATTTGAATCAAGGCAGTTTGATTCCAATTTCTTTACCCTTAACAACTTTCCTATACTGCCTCCTTTGTATGTATGTACTCTATAGATATTTATTTGCTGTTCAGAGTATTTGGATCTCTGCTACTTTTTTTTTTTTTTAGTGAGGAAGGGAGAGACACTGGATTGAAATGG